CCCGAGAGGAGAATGGAGGAGAAGGGATTGCGACGTGACCATCCCCCCTGGGGGGTGATTTCTCGCTTTCTGTCTCTATGTCTCTCTCTGTCTGGCGAGCGCACGCGCCCTATAGCGAAAACCTCTCCAAAATAAAATAAAATAAAATAAATGGATGAGTAAGTAAAACTTTTTAAAAGAATTATTTTATTTAACTTTATTTATTTATTTATTTTAATTTGACCAGAGAGGGACAGAAAGAGAGAGAGGGCGAAAGCGAGAAAGCAAGCCACCAGGTCCGGGACTTGAACTGCAATCAGCCATGTGGGAGTCCAGCGCCCTTAACTACCACACCACTTACCAGCCCCAGATGAGTAAATAAAATTTTAAAAATAAATCTAGAGGGAGAAGTCTCAGCAGAAAATCTTCATATTTAGTTGAGGAAAGCAATATTTCACAGCTCAATTCAGTATCCGTCTCAGAATCCTTTTCTTTTCTTTTCTTCTTTCTTTTATCTTTTAGGATTTTATCATAGGGCACATGCACTTGCCAGAGATAGGGAAAGTGAGAAATCATCCCCCAGGGGGGAATGGCCACACCAAAATCCCTTCCCTCTTGGGATTTTGGGCACCCATATGCATGCACCCAGAGTGATTTTTAAGCCTCCTGGTCTGGGTCCCAAACCATTGTTGGCCATGTGGGAATCTAGCGCCTTAATCATCATGCCACCTGCTAGTCCCCCCTTTTATTTTTTTGGCCAGAGGACTCATACACTCTTCAGAGAGAGAGAGGGAACACCCTTAATGAGGCATATGGCCATGCTGCAATCCTTTTTCCTACATTGTTCTATCCATTAGGACTTGGAGCATACATGCATGCATGTTCTGCCCTTAAGCCCTTGGGTCATACTCGAACCTGTCAGCCATGTGGGATCTGGCTCCCTGAACCACCAAGGTATGAGACTGGCCACTCTTCAAACTTCCTTCTCTACCTACCTCCTTCTCTTTGAGAACTGCCTTGGAGCTCTCAATTTCATTTCCCTTATTTCCTTCCCCAGTGCTCACTTTTCCTACCGGTTATTTCCCCGGGCACCTCCATCCTGTACCTTTGAGTTCACAGATTCCTCTTTCACAAAACATAAGTGTGAATTTGACCGTGGTAATTACTTTTGCTGTGCGGCTGGTGAGCTTAAAGAAAAACTGGCAGAGAGCATCGTGAACGTTGAGGTTTGGAGTTCTAAGGCAGTCCTAATATGGTCAGAGAAAAAGCCATTATTCACAAGTGTCAGTTGGCAGCTGCTACCTGTCTGGCAATTCTGTCCAGATCTCTCTGGCCCAGAGGTGTCAGTTTGTGGCCCACATTTTGGTCCTTTTCCACCATTTTTAGCCTCTCTAGGGCTTGGAAGACCTGGTGGGCCACACTCTTGGAGACTCAGCTGAAGTGGCTGGGCATGACATTGCTCTGCATTTCCCACCTCCCACCCCCCCAGAGATCCTGGTCATGGAGCCAACCCAGTACCACCCAGAGATATAGGTGCCATGCTGTGGAAGCAGCTCGTGTGTACAACCAGTTCTCATCACAGGGAGCAAGTTCTTTATGTTTGGCCAGCTTGGCAGCGTCCACCCATTGAGGGGCTTTTAGCTTTCTGGACACTTTGAGGAAGGCTGTCAAAACTGATGAACTTGCGCTGGTTCACGTCTTTTACAGTAATTCCAGGTGTCATGTGGCCTCCCCACTGCCAGCCAGGGGAGAAGGCTGCCTCTTAAGTTTAAGGGCATAACATAATCCATCTGATTTTGGATGGCCTGGAACCTTTTCATACAACGTCGCTTTTGCCATCCTCTCCACTTTTTGAGAGAGGGGGATGACCAGCACCTTGAGTGGCTAGTTTCAGGGTAGCATGCAGAGAAAAGCAGCTTCTCAACCCTTTTCATAGTGTTGTGCTTCTTGTCTTATTTGTAGATAATGACTGTCAGATGGGCTGGCATAGCAAGCCAGTAAGGCAGATTTGGACCTTTCTGTATGCCCAGTATACGCCGCCCCCCCAGCCCACTAACTTATAATATAAAAACGGGGGGGTATTTTTCCTCCTTCAGATGAGTTTATAACAGTTACTAGTATTTATTTAGCACATACTATATGCTAGATAAGGTGCTAGATATTTAGAAGCATTATCTGATTATATCCGACAGCAATCCTATGCTGTATGAGTAGGCTGTAAGAGTAACCACCATACTGAGTTCCCCTTCCTAAATCAAATGCAAGTGATCGAATATCCAGACAGCTGTCCCTTTCTCAGTGCTTATGGGAGCAGAGATGGGGACAGAGCACTGACTGTATTTGTTCCAGGAGAAAATGATATTGAAAACAACACAAGCCTTTGGAGGTCAATTCGTTTGGTAGTTTTGTTTTTCTTTTTCCCCTTTAGTAGACCACAAAATATAAAACAGAAAAAGCAGAGCTTTATTGATTGAAGAAGAGTGAGGTACTACAGTGTTCTCTGCTGTGCCTTCTTTCCCATCCAAACTACTAATAATCTAGGGGCCAGAAGGTGGTATGGTGATTAAGGTGTTGGACTCCCACATGGCTGACCAAGGTTCGAGTTGACCTGGTGGCTTGCTTTCTCATTTTTCTCTGTTTCTCTGTGTCTCTCTCTGGTGCATGCCCATGTCCTATAACAAAATTTTTTAAATGGTAAAAATAGTAAATAAATTGAGAAACAAAACAAAACAAAACAAAACAAAACAAAAAAACAACTACTAATCTAGGGGCATGGTAGTTAAGGCAGCTGGATCCCCCTGGCTGACTGTGCAGTTTGAGTCCTGGACAGCTTGAAAAACATGCCAGGCACGTGTGTGTCTGCTCAAAATCCCAAGAAGAAAGTGCAGGAGAAGAGGCCATGCATGGTCATCTCCCCCTCCCTGGAAGTGCTTTCTCACTTTGCCTCTCTCTCTTTGTCTCTCTCTGGCAAATGCATGAACCCCATAGCAAAATTAAAATAATAAACAAACAAACAAACAAAAAACCTATAATCTTGGGGCCAGCAGGTGGTGTCATGGTTGAGGGTGCTGGATTCCCACGTGGCTGATTGCAGTTCATGTCCTGGACCTGGCGGCTTGCTTTCTCGCTTTCTCCCTCTCTTTCTCACTCTGTCCCTCTCTGGTCAAATTAAAATAAATAAATAAAGTTAAAGAAAATAAAGAAAAGAAAAGCCTCTAATCAAGAGTCAGCCAGTGGGGAACCAGCAGTTAGCGTAATGGTTATGTCACTGGACTCCCACGTAGTCGACCGCGGTTTGCGCCCCAGACCCGGTGGCTTAAAACTCACACCAGGCACATGTGCGTGCGTGACCAAGATCCCGAGAGGAGAATGGAGGAGAAGGGATTGCGGCGTGACCAACCCCCTGAGGGGTGATTTCTCGCTTTCTGTCTCTATGTCTCTCTCTGTCTGGCGAGCGCACGCGCCCTATAGTGAAAACCTCTCAAAAAAAAAAAAAAAAAAAGAGTCAGCCAGTGGCATGATGGTTAATGTGGCAGGATCCTATGTGGTCACTGCACAGTGTGAGTTCTGGACCCAGCAGCTTGAAAAACACACTGGCTTGTGCATGGGCATGCCCAAAATCCTGAGAGGAAAGTGGAGGAGAAGGGATTGAGCAGTGACCATCCCCCTTGGGGTGCTTTCTCATTCTCTCTCTCTCTCCTTCCTGTCTGTCTCTGGTGAATGCAGTTGCCCTACAGCAAATACAAAATAAGTAAATGAAACTACTAATCAACTCCAACTTTCTCATTTTATGTATGAGGAGAATAAGGCCAAAGGGGACGTAAAAAGGAGCTAGTTAGGGTCACATGGTGAGTTGTGGCAAAACTCCAACTATAACCCATATCTAACTTCTAGGTCAGTGCTTTTTCAACTGACAGGCCTTGTTCTCTTAGACTTCCTAAGTGGGCCTGATGTCAGTATTGCCAGGGCCGGGACTGTAGGAAAGGGCTGGAATTGCATGACACTGATTTGGTCTTCCTGGGTAAGATCTCAGTGAATTCCTGGTAGTTTTTTGTTTGGGGATGAACTGGTCTTTCTTTTTTTTCTTTTGTAGACCTGATCTTTGGCTCTCTCATTACCCCACTTTCCTGCTGGCATGAGTCAGTGAGGGAGGACACTGTAACCTCTCACCTATACAGAGTTGCTCTTCTGGGTCAGTAGGTAGCTTGGAGATTAAGGCGCTGGACTCCCACATGGCCAACTGTGGAGTCCCAATCCTGGCAACTTGAAAAAATCACACTGGTTACATGTATATATTTGCCCAAAATCACAAGAGGAGACTGGAGACGGGACTGTGGTGTGGCCAAGTCCCCAGGGGGTGATTTCTCACTTCCCTCTCTCTGTCTCTCTCTGGTGAGCACACATGCCCTATGGCAAAAGCAAACAAACAAACAAAAATTAGTTTCTTCTTGGCTAGACTCCACGTAAACTAGGGTGGGGAAGCAGTAGTAACATCTCCTAATTTCCTTTTTATTGATCTCTTACAGCCTGGTCCTTCAGAAAAGTCCAAGGAAATGACTAGGCTGGAAGAGAGAAGCAGTCTCTGAGGAGCACCAGAATAGGGTGGGGAAAGATAAGGAACAGTGAAGATCCGGGCTCTGGTTCCAGGCCCAATATCTGCCCTTTTATTCCTTCTCAACCCCTGACCCCTAATGGTCCCTCTGATGATGCTATGCCTGAGAGGGGCCATACCCAGACTGTCTTTTAACTTCTTAAATTTACTTCACTGTTCTATTTTCTTGACTCTTTAAGTTTCCTGGGATTGGGTTCTGCATCCCGAAAACCCATCTCTGAATCTCCAAGGCCCAGCATAGTCTTTTCACAAAATAGGAATTAGCACATATTTAAAAAAGACATCTTTGGGGAAAAAATAATCCAGGGCTAGCAAGTGGCATAGTGGTTGTGAGGCTGGATTCCCACATGGTCAACCGTGGTTTTAGTCCCGAACGAGGAGCTTGCAACTTACACCATGTGCATACAGCCGTATGTGTCTCCTCCCCTCCACCTCCCCACTCCAAGGAGAATGCAGGAAAAGGGACTGTGTGTGGCCATGGGGGGGGGGGATGATTTCTTGCTTTCTCTCTCTCTGTCTCTATATCTACGACGAGAGTATATAGCAAAAAATATCTATCTTTAAAAAAAAAAATCCTTGAGAATAATAGTCATAGCCATCCCCTGGCCTATAGCTTGGGAAGACCTTCTTAGGCAGGACCTTATTCGCTCCTACTTGGATGTCGCCAGGCTTAGGCAGGCTGAAGCCACTACATTACCCCCGCGCTAGAGGTGGAAAATCCAGTAGCCACGCTGCAATCACCTAGCAGTAATGCACCCCAATAGGACTCGCTTCACATCCCCGCATCTCCGACGGCTTTTTGCGCGGAGCCTGCTGGGACTTGTAGTCCTATGCCCTGGTAGTCCATATGGACTGGACTACAATGACCAGCATGCTCTGCGCTCGGCACCCCCTTCTCTTTCAGCCTCCAGCTTCGCCAGGGAGGCTCGACGGACCTGCTGACAGGGGACAGAGATGGCGGCGACTCTGGGCAGCGGGGAGCGCTGGACAGAAGGTACCGATCCTGGCCGGAGGGTGGAACAGGGCTGCATTTGGGAGAGATCGTTAGTGGGGCTCCTGAAGGAGCATAAGGCTGAGATCCTGGGTCTGAGGCCTGTGAGAAGATGCTGAGCCGGAGTAGGATTGCGAAGGGGTGGAGGACCGCCCAGAGTAAGGGCCGGGATGGCCCAGGCTCCGGACCCTGCTGGGACCATGGTGCCACGGCAGCAGACGACTTGTTGCCTCCGGGTTCCCACCCCGCTCAGACCCGTGCTCTGCTCTGGGCCCGCGGCAATCTGATCCTGCCTGCCCCAGGGTGACTGGAGGGCCCGTGGGGAGCAGCGGTCTCCCGCATCTCGCTTACTCCGCCCTTGTCTGCAGCCCAAGTGGGCTGCTTGACCCTCGATCTGGCCTCATTTCCTCCCTCCAGTCCTCATCCAGACCGATAGGCCGGCCTTTTCTGTCCTACGGTCAGGCAAAAATAGCGATCCGGTACCTGTTATGTACCCTGCAGTATGCTCACCCACCAGCTGGGATTTGACAGAGGTGGGCGCCTGAGCGCACAGAACTCCCAGTCCACCGACAGCGGTTTGACAGATAAACAGCCAATTTCAAAACAGGGACCACACAGCCAGGTCAGCAGTTTAGTGAACATAGCGACAAGCCACCAGCCTGATGTCAAAGGAGGCTTCATGAAAGTGTTAAAGTTGTGACATGAAGGATGCAGTGGAATTAGCCAGGCAGACGTAGTTACTCTTGGCAGAGTGTCAAGAAGCAGTGGGTAGTCATTACCAGATGTTAAAGCCTGTCCCAGATCCTCTAGATAAGAAGTAAGTATTCTGCCCTCTTTGACTGGATTGCTTATGACCCTTTTATGTTCTGTGGGCATTAATGATTTGTTGAATCTTTTCCCATTAAACTATAACCTCTTTGTGGTCAGGAGTAAGTCTTGCCCATGTATCCCTCTGATCTACCTAGCCAAGTGTCTTGGTACATATTAGTTATGTATGTATACACGCTCAAGAGAGACAGAGACAAAAAACACCCCCACGGTTTACCATCCTATCAGGCTCCTGGGCACACGGGCTAATAGGGTTGGGATTCTGAACCTAGGTGAACTGTGTGGGATCTGGCTTCCTCTGTGTCGTGCCTAACCCCTACACTATGGGGCAGACCCACATGTTATTTCTATAACTGTTAGCTTGAAAGGAACTAACTCTTCTCCACTTTATTTGTTTATTTAAGTTTTGCTATGGGGTGCATGTGCTTGCCAGAGAAAGAGAGAGAGGGCAAGAGAAATCACACCCTGGGGGAATGGCCATACCACAATCCCTTCTCCTCCGTTTTCCTTTCAGGATTTTAGGCATGCTCACACACACACCAATGTGATTTTCAAGCTGCTGGGTCCAAGACTCCAGCCATGCCATCAGCCATGTGGAATGCAGGACCTTAACCTACATACCACCTCCTGGTTCTTTCTTTCTTTATTTTTAAAGTTTATTTTTATTCTATGATTGAGAGACTCCCCACAGAGTCTTGATGCTGTGATTCACCCCCAAATTCAGCCAGCCTTGGAACATGGACACGCACATGCCCAGCATCTCAGGGAGATTTCCGGAAGTGAACCAATAACCTTCCCATGTGGGTCTGCCTTGCAGGGCATCAAGTTTTACTGTTGTGCCAATGCCTGGCTCCTCCTTTCTACTTTAAATCTTAGCGGTAGGAAGCATTGCAACAAAAAATATTTTGTGGGCAATGTCACATCTGACCAAGGACCATAGAGAAATAGGCTCCGCCCATGCCTTGCTGCAATGAAGGCAACATATTAGGAAAATGTTCCTTGAGCCCTTTTTCTGGCTCTAAGTCAAGATTGTTGACTGAAGATATGGTGGACATTATGGTATGCTTCATGTTTCTGCATTTATATATTTTTCTTGGCCACTTCTCGTATGTTCTATATTGTTTTTTCAGGAAAGATGCTTATTCAAGTTTATATAGATGCTTAAAAGTCAGTGGCCCTAGAATTAAACAGGTAGCAAAATTGATTTGTGGGGTCAGACAGAGGCCTAATGGAGGAGCTATTGCTTTGCAGCTTACATTGATGCAGTTAGAAGAAACAAATACCCTGAAGACAGACCTCCTGAGAGTCATGACCCCTGTGGTTGCTGTAACTGCATGAAGGCATACAAGGAAAAGAAGTCTGAGAATGAGCGGAATCAGACCCGGCAGAGTGAAGGGAGCTCCACTTATACTGAGGAACAGTTGCTTGGTGTACAAAGGTGAGCATGTGGTGGGATTAAAACTCGACAATGAAAAGACAAATGACCCAATTGGAAAATGGGTAAAGGATCTGAATAGGCATTCTTCCAAAGAAGATATACAAACGGTAAATAAGCACATGAAAAGTTGCTCAACATTATTAGTCATCTGGGAAATGCAAATCAAAAAGTGAGATCTCATTCCACTCCACACTTGCTAGGATGGCTAGCACCAAAAAGATAGATAATAATAAGTGCTGATGAAGATGTGGAGAAATGGGAACCCTTGTGTATTGGTGGTAGGAATATAAAATGGTGCAGTTTGGAAAACAGTGTGGCAGTTCCTCTGAATGTTAAATATAGCACATGACCTAGCAAGTTACTGCTAAGTACATAGCAAGAGAAATAAAAACATACTTCTGCACAAAAACTTTTACGTGAATGTTCATACAGCATAATGTATATTCACCTCAAAATGGAAACAACCCAAATGTCCATTAGTTGATGAGTGGATATGGGGCATATCCATACAATGAAATTTTATTTACTAATAAAAAGGCATAAAGTACAGATGCTTTTTGACTTTCAGTGGGGTTCCATGCCTATAAACCTGTTGTAAGTTGAAAATATCGTAAGTCGAAAATACACTTAATACACCTTACCTAGCAAACATAGTTTGGTATGTCCATACTATGTCCCTGCGTCCCTGCATTTAGGATATAACAACATAACTACATTTAGTTTAGCCTATGGTTGGGCAAAAGAACCTAACACAAAGCCTATTTTATATGAAAATATTGAAAATCTCATGTACTTTACTAAAGTACTGAAAGTAAAAAGCAGACTGGTCATATGGAGACTTGAGGTATGGTTTCTACTGAATGCATTATCACTTTTACACCATCATAAAGTCAAACCATCGGTAAGTCTGGGACCATCTGTACTGATAAATGTGACAATACTGATGAGCCTCGAGACCATTGTGCTAAGTGAAAGAAACCAGACACAAAAGGCCACACGTTGTATAATTCCTTTTGTGAAATATTCAGAATAAGCAAGTCTGTAGAGACAGAAAGTAGATTAGTAGTTGCCAAGAGAGAGGGAGTGGAATGATTGCAAAGGGGTATAAGGTGTCTTTCTTTTTTTTTTCTTTTACTTTTTTTATTTTTATTTTTTTGCCAGACGGTGTGTGCACTTACTGAAGAGAAACAGAGAGACAGAAAGAGAAGAGGCGAAATCATCCCCTATGAGGAATGGTCATGCTGCAATCCCTTCCTCATTTCTCCCTCCCTTCAAGTTTTGATGTACAAAACTCACACAAGCCCAACATGATTTTTGTTTTTTTTTTTTTCTTTTTTTGGAGAGGTTTTTGCTGTAGGGTGCATGCCCTCGCCAGAAAGACAGAGAGAGACAGAGAGACAGAAAGCGAGAACTCACTCCCCGGGGGGATGGCCACACTGCAATCCCTTATCCTCCGTCCTCATTCCAGGATTTTGGGTACTCATGCACATGGCACCTGGTGTGAGTTTCAAGCCTCCGGGTCTGGGACTCAAACCTCAGCCAGCCATGTGGGAGTCCAGCACCTTAACCACTATACATCTGCTGCCCCATCACTCTGGTTTTTCTTTGCTTTTTTTTTTTTTTATTTGTTTTTTGTTGTTTTAATTCTGTTTTTAAAATTTTCATTTTTATTTATAGTATAATAAATGTTGATAGGTGTAATTTATATAAATAAACAAAAGTTCTGGACCAGCTGGTGGTGTGGTGTGGTAATTAAGGCACTAAATCCCAATGGCTGACTGTGGTTTGAATCCCACACCTGGCAGATGCACATGTGTGTGCATGCCCAAAATCCCAGCAGGAGAATGGAGAAGGGATTGCAGTGTGGCCATCCCCCTTATGGGGGTGATTCCTTACTTTCCCTCTCTCTCTTTCTTTCTCTGGTGGGCACAAGTGCCATATGGCACAGATCTAAAACACAGACACACAATTTTTTTAAAAAAAGTTCTTTCAGAGTTTTTAGGGGAAAAAAATTAAATTGATTTAGTTTTCCTGAGACAGAGACAGAGACAGGCATCCCTTCACCCCAATTTCTGCTGGCCCACATTATGGGGGTGCATACCTGCATGCCCTGGGAGGTTCCAGGATGCAAACCTGAGACTCTCCCCACATAGATTCAGTTGTTATCACTGTGCCACTACCTGAACCTGATCAGTCATTTTTAAGTGTATGAAAGATTTCTGAAATCAAAAAGTTTAGAACTGCCACTCTAGTCTAAACTATTATCCTAAAATGGGCCTGGCAGCATACACCTATTGTCTCAACTACTTTGGAGGCTAAGACAGGAGGATCACAAGTTCAAGGTCAGCCTGGGCAACGGAGTGAGGCCCTGTCTCAAAAAAATAAAATAAAATAAAATAAAATAAAATAAAAAGGGTGAAAGACATTAAACTATTATCCTATATCTTTTTTTATCTCTCTCTGTTATGGATCAATCTCTAAGATATATTGCTGGTTAAAAAAAAAAAAGAGAGAGAGAATGTTGGACAGGTCCAATGGCCTGAGAGTTGAAGGAGCTGGATTCTACCTGACTGGTCACTGTTCAAGTCCTGACCCCTGCAGCTTGTGGGACAGGCTGGCATGTTCACTTGTATGCCCCAAATCCCAACAGGATGGAGAAATGGAGGAGAGGATTGCAGCATGACTACTCTATTGAAGGGTGCTTCTCCTTTTTTCTCTGTTTGTCTCTGTTGAGCATGTGCACCCTCTGGCAATTAAAAAAAGTACATTGAGGGCCAGCAGGTGGCGTGGTGATTAAGATGCTAGCCTCCCACATGGCCAACCATAGTTTGAGTCCCAGACATGGCAGCTTAAAAATCATGCCAGATGCATGTACATGCATGTCCAAAATCCTAACAGGAGAATGGAAAAGGGATTGCAGCATGGCCATCTTCCCTGGTGGGTGATTTCTCACATTCCTTCTCTGTCTCTGTATCTCCAGCGAGCATACACACCCTGTGGCAAAACCTAAAATAAATAAATAAATAAATAAAATGTACATTGAAAAAAGAGGAAAAGAAAGGGTCAGAAAGTCGTGTGGTGATGGGACCAGCAGTTAGTGTAATGGTTATGTCACTGGACTCCCACGTAGTTGACCGCGTTCAACTCCTGGCCCCGGTGGCTTAAACTCATGCTGGGTGTGTGTGCATGCGTGCCCAAGATCCCAAGAGGAGAATGGAAGAGAAGGGATTGCGGCATGGCCATCCCCTCTGGGGGGTGTGATTTCTCGCTTTCTGTCTCTCTGTCTCTCTCTGTCTGTCTGGCAAGCGCACGCGCCCTATAGCAAAAACCTCTCAAAAAAAAAAAAGAAAGTCGTGTGGTGGTTAGGGCACTGGACTCCCACATGGCCAACTATGGTTCAGGTCCCAGACCTGGCAGTTTGCTTTTTCACTTTCTCTCTCTCTTTGTCTCTCTGGTGAGCACACATGTCTTATAGCAAATTTGATAGTAATAATAAGTAAAATTAAGTAATTTTTTTTAAAAAGAGGAAAATGTAGAAGGCAATTATAATTTATTTACTTTTTTTTTTTTTTTTTAATTTGCCCAGAGAGGGAAAGTGAGAAAAAAACCAACGGACTCAAACTGTGGTTGGCCATGCAGGAGTCCAGCACCCTTAACCACCACACCACCTGCCAGCCCCTGTTACTATTATTTTTAAATTTCACCAAAGAGAGACAGAGAGAGAGAGAAAGGGAAAGTGAGAAATCAAGCCCGCCCAGGACTCAAACCACGGTCAGCCATGTGGAAATCCAGAGCCTTTTACCACCACACCACCTGCTGGCCCCCAAAGTTAACTTTTTAGAAACACAGCCAGGAGGAGAAAAGAGAGCGAGAGAAATAAATAAACAAACATGGTGGCTAGATGTTTCTTCTGGCTTTGTTGTCGTATGGGTCACCTCTCATGGTCTTAGCCTGAACCGTGGTAGAAGCATTACCATACTTGTTCTACCCATTGTAGGGTGATAAGAGGGCTGAAAAGTAGATGTAAGAGTACTTTGAAAAGCATTCAAGTCTGGGTGGGAAGAGGTTAATGACTCTGAATGTTTCACTAACACATTTACTAATTTTTTTTTTTTTAAGAGACAGATTTTTTGCTACAGGGCACATGTGCTTGCTGGAGAAACAGACAGAAAGCGAGAAATCATCCTGCCAGCAGGGATAACCATGCCGCAATCCCTTCTCCTCCATTCTCTAGGGATTTGGGGCATGTACGCACATGTGCCCAGCATGTTTAAAGCCACTGAGTCCAGGACTCAAACTGCGGTTGGCCACGTGGGAGTTCAGCGATGTAACCATTACACCATCTGCTGGTCCCTGTTTATTAATGTTTTTTAAGGTTTGTTTTGGGTGTCACAGATGGAGGGAGGATTGATATATGATGTTAGTTGTTTACAAGGATCCTTTGCATACCTACATGTTTCTGTTTGTTTTTTTAGGATCAAGAAATGTAGAAATTATTATGAAATTCTGGGAGTTTCTCGAAATGCAACTGATGAAGAACTTAAGAAAGCTTATAGAAAACTAGCCCTGAAATTTCACCCTGATAAGAACTGTGCTCCTGGAGCAACGGATGCTTTCAAAGGTCTGATCCTGAACTCATGCTTAATTCTGCCCTTGTAATGGTTAATCACACCAAGTAGATTTTAGCCTCCCCTGTGGTTTTTTTGTTTTTGTTTTTTTAATGAATGAATTAATGTATTTATTTATTTGGAGAGGTATTGCTATAGGGTGCATGCATTCACCAGAAAGACAGAGAGAGACAGAGAGACAAAAACGAGAAATCACCCCCCAGGAGCATGGCTATGCCGCATTCCTTTCTCCTCTATTCTCATTGCGGGATCTTGGGCATGCACACACGTGTGCCTGGCATGAGTTTAAGCCGCTGGGTCCAGGACTCGAACCACAGTTGACTACATGGGAGTCCAGAGACGTAGCCATTACACCATCCATTGGTCCCCATATTTTTTTATTTTAATTTGACTAGAGAGAGAGAGAAAGAGAGAGAAAGAGGGAAAATTAGACAGTAAGCTGCTAGGTTCAGGACTCAAACCATGATCAGCTATGTGGGAGTCCAGCGCCCTAACCACCACGCCACCTGCCAGCCCCTATAGTTGTTTTACAAGGCCATATACAGGGTTTTTTCTTCCTGCTTTACCTCATAAGTAGGATTATTAGCATAATTTCCTCCTTCCTTTGTCTGGGTACTTTTATTTCTTTTGGAAAAAATATTTGGTTTCCTTTGGAACTACTCATTCATTGATTCGGCAAATATTTACTGAAGACTGGTCTATGTGCCAGATGCCTAGGAAAATAAAACAATTTCTCTTTATTTTTTAAGTTTATTTCTTCCTTTCTTTCATGAGAGAAAGACAGAAAGAGAGACTCCATCCGCAAACAGGGTTCTCATGCTGCAATCCACACCCAACCTTAGCTAGCCGAGATCGTGGGCATGTGCACCTGAGCACACCCAGCATGTACCAGGAAACCTGGGGATGTGAACCCAGGGCCTCGTATATGGCTCAGCACTGCAGTGCATTGTGTTACCCTTGCCCTGCTGCAGCTGGTCGAGAACACAGATCTGATGCACGAGAGGACTGGCGGGTTGGAGGGCATTTCCTCAACATGTCTGGCACTTGCAGTGATTGGCAATGTGAATTCAAGGATGAGTCCTGACTTCTAGGGCAACTGGGATGACTCAAGGACTGTAGATTAGGAGATAACTCTTCTTTCAGCAATTGTTAGTTCATCTGATTCCAATGTCGTTTTTGGCTTAATAAACTAGATTGTTAAAACTTTCAAACTACCAGGTGATGTGGAGGTTAAGGTGCTGGATCCCACATGACCGAGTGTGTGGTTCCAGACCTGGACCTGGCACCCTGAAAATCATGTCAGGCACATGTGCGTGCATGCCCAAAATCCCGAGAGAATGGAGGAGAAGGAATTGTGGAATGACATTTCCTCCTGGGGATGATTTCTGTTTACCTTTCTCATCTCTCTTTGGTGGGTGCATGTAACCTATAGCAAAAAATGAAAAAACTTAAAAAAAAAAAAAAAAGAGAGAGAGAGAGAAAGAAAGAAAAACCTCAAAGGTCAGCACTTTGGGAAACTTTCCAGGCCCTAAATCTCTCCCTGGGCTCCTGTGAAATGGTTCAGCACCAGTAAACTCTGGGCTCTTCATCACTGTGGTAACCTCAGCTATAGCCAAGACAGTGCTCATGGGCTGCTTCTTGTTGGTTGCAGCAATAGGAAATGCCTTCGCAGTCCTGAGCAATCCTGACAAGAGACTCCGCTACGACGAATATGGAGATGAACAGGTGACTTTCACCGCCCCTCCAGCCAGGCCTTATAGTTATTACAGGGACTTTGAAGCTGACATCACTCCAGAAGAGCTATTCAATGTCTTCTTTGGAGGACATGTTCCTACAGGTTAGTACCCCAAAATTATTGTCCTTAAAAATATTTGACTTAGAGCTCTCAGCAAGCTGCTGTTTGAAGATCCGAGCAGGAAATTGGTATAGTAGAAACAGCGAGAATTTGCAATCAGTTGTAACAGGGGTTTCAGCCAACCTCCTGCTGTACATGATTCTCACCAAATCGTTCAGTGTCTCTGATCTGTTTCCTCACCTGAAAAAGTGGAACTGATAATAATATCTACTTCACAGGACCAGCAGATGGCATAATGGTTATGTTGCTGGACTCCCACATGGCTGACTGAGGTTCGAGTCCCAGACCCAGCAGCTTGAAACTCACATTGGCTACATGTGCGTTCATGCCCAAAATTCTGAGAGGAGAGTGGAGGAGAAGGGACTGTGGCATGGTCATTCTCTTTGGTGAGCACATGTGCCCTATAGCAAAAATCTCTGTAATAATAATAGTAATATCTACTGCACATGATTGCTGTTAGGATTAGATGTTTCTTTAAAGAATGATATATTTTTTATTTTATTTATTATTTTTTTTGAGAGCTCTTTGCTATAGGCCATATGCACTCACTGGAGAGATAGAGACAGAAAATGAGAAATCACTCCCCCCACCCCCCCAAGGAATGGTCACACCATAATCCCCTTCTCCTCCATTCTCCTCTTGGTATTTTGGACACACACGTACATGTGCCCAGTGTGAGCTTTAAGCTGCCAGATGTGGGACTCAAACTGTGATTGACTATGTGGGAGTCCAGCAACATAACCATTACACCATTTGTTGGTCCCTAATTTTATTTATTATTATTATGGGGTTTTTGGAGAGGTTTTTGCTATAGGGTGCGTGTGCTCACCAGAAAGACAGAGAAAGACACAGAGACAGGAAGTGAGAAATCACCCCCCATGGGACCAGCAGTTAGTGTAACGGCTATGTCGCTGGACTCCCATGTAGTCGACCGCGGTTCGTGTCCCGGACCCGCTGGTTTAAAACTCACACCAGGTGCGTGTGCGTGCGTGCCCAAGATCCCGAGAGGAGAATGGAGGAGAAGGGACTGTGGAGTGGCCATCCCCCCTGGGGGGTGATTTCTTGCTTTCTGTCTCTCTGTCTCTCTCCTTTCTTTCGGGAAAACACACACACCCTAAAGCAAAAACCTCTCAAAAAAAAAAAAAAAAGTATAAAAAGGGGGCCAGCAGGTGGCAGAGTAGTTAAGATGCTGACCTCCCACATGGCTGACTGCAGTTTGAGTCCCAAACCTGGTAGCTTGCTTTCTGTTTCTTTCTCTCTGTCAAATTGAACGATAATAATAAATAAAAATTAAGTAAATAAGTCTTCTTTTTTTGTTTTTAAAATTATTTTATTTAACTTTATTTATTTATTTTAATTTGACCAGAGAGGGACCAAGAGAAAGAGAGAGAGAGAGTGAGAAAGTGAGAAAGCAAGCCGCCAGGTACAGGACTTGAACCACAGTCAGCCATGTGGGAGTCCAGTGCCTTTAACCAATAGACCACCTGCCGGCTCCAGGTAAATAAACCTTTTAAAAATAAATAAATAAATTGGGCTGGCAGGTGGCATGGTGGTTAAGGGTGCTAGACTCCCACTATGGCCAACTGCGGTTTGAGTCCCAGACCTGGCTGCTTGCTTTCTTACTTTCCTTCTCTGTCTCTCTTTCATTCTATCCCTCTCTGGTCAAATTAAAATAAATAAATAAATAAAGTTAAATAAAATAATTCTTTAAAATAAAGTAATAAATGTAGAAAATGCCTATTGTTATTATCATTATTGCAAAATAGCAGCTATAAAGTGAAAAGTAACCCTAGAGAGTGGAAAGTTGGGATAATTCGATGCCCAGGAAGTAAACTGAATTTTATGAATTGTTATTGAAGATAATAGTGGCAGTCCCGCTGGTGATGTGGTGGTTAAGGCACTGGATGCCACATGGCCAACAGCATGGTTTAAGTCCTAGATCTGGTGGCTTCAAAAACATGCCAGGTGCATGCGCATGTGCGGCCAAAAGGAGAATGGAGAAGGAATTGCAGCATTATTATCCCACTGGCTGTGTGGGGGGGTATTTCTCATTTTTTCTCTCTCCCTCTGCAAAATCCGCATGCCCTATAAATTAAAAATATAATAAAAAACGATAACAGTGACAGTTCAGGCACGGAAACAGATACAAGCATACCAAATAGGATTCATGTCCCAAATGTTCCTTCTCTCCTAGTCTTTTAGGGTTCTCTTGTTGCAAATGAGTATTTCTTCCTTTTTAGGAGAGATTTTTGCTGTAAGGCACATGCACTCACCAGAGAGCCAGAGAGAGAGACAGAGGGCCCCAGAAAGGGAAAAATCACCCCCCAGGGGGATGGCCACACTGCAATCCATTCTCCTCCATTCTCTTCTCAGGATATTTTTTTTTTTTTTAAGAGAGATTTTTGCTATAGGGCACATGCGCTCACCAGAGAGACAGAAAGTGAGAAATCACTCCTAAGAGAAGATGACCACGCTGCAATTCCTTCTCTATTCTCCTTTTGGGATTTTGGGCATGCACGCACATGTGCCTAGTGTGAGTTTTAAGCCTCTGGGTTCAGGACTTGAACCATAGCTGACTACATGGGAGTCCAGAGACATAGCCATTATGCCATTTGCTGGTCCCTGCAAATGAGTATTTAAATGAAGTCTGGGGGACCAGCAGTTGGCATAATGGCTAAAAAAAAAAAAAAAAAAGTCGGGGAAACTTGGACA